CCGCCGCAGGGGGCCTTTCCGCCCAGCCGGGCCTGGCTCCTCCCGGCTGCCGTAGGCGGGGTTTGGCGCTCGCGGCTCGGGGCGCTCACCTGGTTTCCCCGCGCACCCGCGGGGCGTTGAGGGCCGGGGAGCCCCGCAGCGGAGCAAAGCCGAACGGAGCGGGGGCTTAGGCCGGCTGCTGCGGGTCACTCGTCCGTGCGTGCCTTCATTCCCTCCCTCGTTCTTTGAGGTACGCATTAATTAACAGCCACTTCCTCACTCAAGACCGCCGCCACGTGCCAGCTCTCCTCGGGCGCGGGAGCCTTCCCGCTCGGCAGACGGACGGAATGCGGCCAAAGCAGCAGCGCCCTCCCGGCGTGACACCTGCTCCGCAGCGTGCGCAGCGCAGGGGCGCCTCGGACGCTCGGGGTGGGACCCTGTAGACGCCTGGCAGCGGCCTCAGCCGCGTCCGGAGGCTCGGCCGCTTCCTTGCGCGGCGCTGACAACGCTGGTTCCCTCGCCCGACACGGTTACTTGGGGGTGCGCGCGCGCTTGTTGTTTGTTTTTTAAAATTAAAGAAGCAGTATATCTCAGCACCGAATGGCACAGTCATATATATGTGTGTTTTCTCCCCACCCCCGAAGCAGCAGGGGGAGCGCCACCTTTCCTCTTACACGTTCTCAGCTCGTTGAAGCCCCGGCTTGCACTCGGTTGAAAAGTTGCCGTTTACTAGTATTTTGGTTTAATCCGTTAGGGTCTTTCTTCTGTGGTCATTATTTGTCCAACAGTTCAGAGTCGCTGAAAAAAGTGCCGGTGTTGTTGGTGGCGGAAGTTCCACCAATGGCCCAGCGTTCGGCTAGGCGCTGGCGGAGCAGGTGCAGGAGCCGCGCTCGGGGTCAGCAGGGCTCAGGGTCAGCAGGGCTCAGGGTCAGCAGGGCTCGGGGTCAGCAGGGCTCAGGGTCAGCAGGGGCGGTCGGAAGCCGCTTGGCCTTTCGAAGGGCATTGATAACATCTTTGCAGCCTGGGAGGCCGGGACCAACTATTGTGTGAAGTGCAGCAGGACGATTTTGTGTCTGGAGGCCTAAAGGCCTGGGGTTTGAAGGGGGCAGACATGGGTGATAGATGCAGGCGGCAGTTTGGGAAGGCATCCCCATAGGGGCCGTGGGGTGGCGACTGTCTGTCTATAATACTGATTCAGGTTGGGCCCCCATTTCCTGGAAGCGATCTCACGCCAAACGAGGCATCCCTATTGCGAGGCATGTCAGCTGGAGTCCGAATGGGCCCTTGTCAGGGAGGCTCTGAAGTTATTTTGAGCTTTTTGGTAATGTTGGATTAGATGATCCATTTGTACTCGGAGTCTTTCGTTTTATGACCTTAAGTTATGTACAGAAACACTCTGAGAAGCTCTAGTTCTGTTTCATTTTTTTTTTTTCCCCCCCTCCACAGGGGAGGAGATTTTGGTCACTTGTCATCTTCTTTTCCCTCCAAGAAACTCATGCTTCTCAAAATTCCAGGTCACAATAGCTAACTCGTCTCGTTTGTCATTCCTTACCTAGAAGTCCAACCAAGATGACTTGGACTGGACAGCTAGGATTGTGGGGGAGGAGTCTGGGGGGTGTGTGTGTGTGTGTGTGTGTGTGTGTGTGTGTGTACACACAGATCTAGCTCTGGACTGATTGATTGTATCTACCATTTTAAGTACTAGAAGTGTAGATATTTACAGTGATACTGGCTGTTGACTGTTTTGGGGGCTCTCTAGGTGTTTCTGTTCAAGGAGATCCCTACTTGATTGTGTAGCCATTTGTTTTGCTTATCAAAATCAGTGGCAGTGCACCATTTCTGTTATGTCAATCAGCTTTTTAATGAAGGAACCTGACTTCATATGCATAGAGTGTGAATCCCCACATTTCTGGAGTCAGGGTGTCAGGCTCGTTCGATAGCTGACAGCTGTGATTAGAGCGAAGAAAGATTCTGGAATGAAAGGCACTGACAGGAGTACCCAACTGCTGAAAAAGTAATAAGAAGTAGCCAAACTGACTTCTAACCAACAGTCAAGTTTGACTCACTGTGCACAGGAAATCAATGAGGAGAATATGAGCCATTTTCTCCTTATCGATTTTCACTTCTAATTATTCGTTGGAGGTAGCTTGGTTTAATTTTTATGCCTTTTTGGGACTATAATGAATATCCAGAGCTGTGCTATATAAAGTATCCTGGCAGTGTCTGACATGTTCCTTACCCCATTCTTTTTTTTTTTAACATTCATCACACTTTTATTTATCTGTTTATCTCTCTAATTTTCTCTGGTAGGTGACCCAGTTCATAAAGAGAGGCTATGATCAACTTATTCAATTTCTTACCTCCAAAAACTAGCACAGTGTATGACCATTAGTAAACTCTCAATATGTAGCTGTTAAATAAAAAATAAAAAAATGAAATGGAATCCTTAACCTACATACTTGCTTTTAAGTTTGAGAAAAAAATATTTCCTTAACAAGTATTCTCATAAAAAAATTTACCCTTATAGGAGAAAAACCTGCCCATCAGGTTCAAGGGCAGACAGCACACCTTGGTTTGAATATTGGAACCTCTGCTTATTAATTAAAAAAAATGCCCCATTTTTAACGCATGTGAATTATCCTGTTCCCTTCTCTTTTTCCCACCCCTTATTTGGACCCACAGTAAGTGCTAAATAACTTTGAATTTAAATGAAAGAATTAATGAGTATTACTTTTTAAAAGTACTCTGAAGTCACCCCAAATTTTGTGGTACATGCAGAGACAAAGTCCACAATTCTTCACATAATTTTGTCAAAATAAGTTGATTTACTTCTCAGGTCTCTCTCTTTGATAATTTGCTACTGCTCTATTCTTAGCCCAAAGAAATTCAGGTAACTTGATAATCTTGAGTTTTCTCCTGGGATTTTCTATACCACCCCATATATCTTTGGCATTCCTTTCTAGTTGGCAAATGCTATAAACAGAGCCATGGAATATATTTTGTGCCCATTTTCTTGTAAGGTAAGGCATTGTTTGTCAACTTAAACAGAACATCTCTTAGTACTCTACTGGTTTCATTCCAGAAAGTACTAGATTCTTTGAAAATATCCAGCTGAAGACTCTGGTAAACCCAGCATTGTTGACAGGCACAGAAGTTTTAAAAATCCCCAACAAAAGCTTGTTCTCTAGCCAAAAGACCAGGAAAGGAACAGCTAACAAGACAGAAACTTAGAAAATAACCACTCTTTTCCAGCCAAAAGCCACAGAGGCCAAGTGGAGAGTATAGACTTAGATTCTCAACATCCTACTACTCCTGTCCCCCACCAGGGTATTGTAAAAGAAGACTGAGTAGGGAGTCAGTACTTTCATCCCACTGGGTGTTAATAGTCACCTTCCCCACTCCCTGCAATGGTTTTAGTGAAGTCCAGGTGGGGAGCCTGCATTGCCACCTCCACTCTAGCATATGAATAGTTACATTAAATATAAACAACCCAAATACACCAATAAAAAGACAAAGATCATCATAGTGGATGAAAAACATGACCTAACTACATCTGTCTACAAGTAACTGACTCCAAATACAACATTATACGAATGTAGAAAATAAAAGGATGGAAAAAGATATATCATGTAAACAATCCAAAGAGAGAAAGAGTGGTTATATTAATATCAGATAAATAGACTTCAGATAAAAGGAAATTGCTAAATACAGAGAACATCATATAATGGTAAAATGGTCACTCCACCAAGAAGACATAGCAAATCTAAAAATGTCTGCATCAAACAACAAAGCTGCAAATTATATAAAGCAAAAAATGATGGAATTGAAAGAAGTAAAAACATTCTCAGTGGCAGTTAAAAAGTCAATGCCCCTTTCTGACCAATTGATAGAAGAATCATACAGAAAATCATCAGGGATAGAAAACTCAACATCATCAACTAACAGAATCTAGTTGACATAGAACACCCCATCCAACATCAGCAGAATCCATATTTGTTTCAAGTGCCCATAGAGCATATACCAAGATAGGCCACATCCTGGGCCATTAGACAAACCTCAATAAATTTAAAAGACTTGAAATCATACAGAGTATGTCCTCCAGTTATAGTGGAGTCAGGCTAGAAATCAGTAACAGAAAGATAACAGGAAAATCTCCAAACACTTGGAAAATTAACAACACTTTTCTAAATAATCCACGAGTCACAGAGGAGATCTTAAGGGAGATAAAAAGAATTACATTGAATGGAAGGAAAATAAAAATACAGCATATCAAAACTGTGGGATACAACTAAAACAGTGATGAGAGAGAAATTCATAACACTAAATGCTTACCTTAGAAAAGATGAAACATCTTAATGTGAGCTCTCACATCAAGAACTTAGAATAAGAAGAGCAAAATAAACCCAAAGTAATTTAATGAACTAATATAATTTAACAAAGATAAGAGCAGAGATAAAAAATTGAAACAAAAACAATAGAGAGTTTGTTCTTTGAAAAGATCATTAGAATTGACAAACCTCTAGCAAGATGGACAATGACAACAATGGGAGAAAACAAATTAGCAGTATCATGAATGAAATATGGAATGCCATACATACTCTGCTGATATAAAAAAGATAGGCAACACTATGAACAACTCCACATACATACTGTTGACAACTTAGATGAAATGGACCAATTCCTTCAAATCACTCACCACAAAAATTCATCCAATATAAAATAGATAATTTGAATAACCCTATATTATTAATGACATTGAATTCATAGTTTGAAAAATTCCCCCAGAGAAATCTCCATTGGAGGTTTACTAGGCAATTCTATGAAATGTTTGAAGTATAAGAGAATAGAGGGGAGAAAGCTTCCCAGTTCATTTTATGAATTTAGCATTATCCTGACTCCAAAACCAGACAAAGAGTATCTCCCCCTCCCCTCAACACACACATACAAAAAGGAAAGATGAAAACTATGGGTTAATATCCTCCATGAGTACATGCAGACTCCTCAATGAAATAGTTGATAATATAATTACCAATATATAAAAAGAATTATACACTATTGCCAACTGGAGTTCATCCCAGGGATGCAAGGCTGGTTCACCATTCAAAAATCAGGCAGTGTAATTCTCTGTATTAACAGGCCAAAGAAGAAAAATAATCATATGACAGAAAAATAATTTGACAGTACTTAATATTCATGATTTAAAATAACACTCAGCAAACTAGGAACAAAGGAAATATCTGTAACTTTATAAAGAGCATCTACAAAAAAAGCTATAGATAACATTCTTAGTGTTGAAAGATTAAATGCATTCCTTCTAAAATCGGAAACAAGGAAAGAATGTCCTTTCTCACTATACTCGTTTAACACAGTGCTAGAAATTTTATCCAGTGCAATAAGGCAAGAAAAGGAAATAAAAGAGAAACAGATGGAAGTGAAGAAATAAAAACTGCTCCTATTTGGAGATGACACAATTGAATATGTAGAAAATGCCAAATAATCTACAGAAACAACTCCTAGAAATGAAATGCTCAGGTATAAATCTAACAAGACATGCATAGGACTTATATGCTGAAAACGACAAACTACTGATTAAAGAAAATGAAAACATAAAAATAAATGGGGTCATGTCACTTCTCTCCAAATTGATATGCAGGCTTAACAAAATCCCAGCAAGATTTTTATTATAGAGAAGGTTATTCTAATATTTATATTGAAAAGCAAAAGAAATATAATAGCTGAGAATTAAGTTGGAGAAATCACAGTGCCCAATTTCAAGACCCATTATAGATTAACACTTTGTGGTATTAGTGGAGGGTAAACAGATAGATCAATCCAACAGAATTCATCGCACATAAATATACCTAATGATTTTTGACAAAGGTGCAAAAGCATTCAGTGGAGGAAGTATAGCTTTTTCAATAAATGGTGTTAGAGAAATTCAACATCCGTAAACAAAACAAACAAAACCAAAAAAAATCCTTGACTTAAGGCTCACACCTTATATACAGATTAATTAAAAATGGATCACAGACATAAATGTAAAATGTAAAACTATAAAATTTTAAGAAAAACATATAAGAGAAAACCTCTATACTCTAGGGTTAAACAAAGAGCTCTTAGACTTAGCAACAAAGCACAACACAGAAAAGGAAAAATTAATAAATTAGACTTCATCTAAGTTAAAAACTTTGCCCTGTGAAGACCACGTTAAAAGAATTTCTGAAAGGCAAACTATAGACTGGGAGCAAACATTTGCACACCATGTATCTGATAAAGGACATTTAGATACATTATTTAAATATCATCTAAATAATAAAATAATTAAAGAAGTCTCAAAACTCAACAGTGAAAAGACAAATGATGCAGTTAGAAAATGGGCAAAAGACTTTCCACTGAAGAGAATATACAGATGGCTGTACACACCTATCAGAATGGGTTAAAAAAAACAAAAAAACAGTGACACCACCAAATGCTGGTGAGGATGTGGAGAAACTGGGTCACCCATACATTGCAGTTCCATTTTGGGTGGTTTTCTTTGTATTTATCCTGCCAGGGATTTGTTGTACTTCTTGAAATTGAGGTTTGGTATCTTTTGTCAGTCTTGTAACATTCTCATCCTATGTTTTGCCAGTTTCCAGTAATTTAAAAAACATTTTTTTATGTACGAATAAAGAGTTTATGTAAAGGAATTGGCTGAAAAATATTTACTTGTACTCTGAATGTAGATTCCCATCTACACAATTATATGTATGAAAATAAGCAAAACGGTACAGCTGTATATGTTGTTTCCCCTTTATTGCACCTTAATGATTTCTACCTAGTTCTTAGTCTCAGGATCCGCTGGTTGTCACTTAATACATGTTAGGATAATTTTGCTGTAAGTTCAATTTCTTAATTAAACCTCTGTCAGGATGTAAGCAGTGAAACATTATCTCCAGACCTTTAAAAACTAAAGACAATGGTTACTGGGTGAGGGACAGTTTGTGGCCTTTCTGTTAACACTTAATAACCTCTCATTTTTTGTTAGCTGGGCATAGTTTGAAAGCGCTTTGATGTGCCCTCTGTCATTTGCCTTCACAATGGCCCCTGGTGAAGGCAAGTGACTCTTAGCAGGCTTAGTTCCATTTTGCTGATGTAGTCTTTGAGGCAAAGAGGTCAAATGACAGAATAAGGACCCTGAGTGGTAAATCCCATTTTATGCCAGTCTGTAACTTTCCAGGATGGCTCTGACTCTGTATTCGAGTTCCTATTATATTCTCATCAAGTCACATAAACAGCCCTATGTTCTTCTAGTTCCAAGATATTATAGTCCTTCCATGGACAAAATAACTAGCCCAGCCAGAAACAAAGCTGAATTCCCTTGTCTTCCTCCTGTGCTATTATGCCAACATACAAGAGAGAACAGGACTTTGTTACCTGCTTGGAAAGAGGGAGGGGGTCTCACCTCCCTGCCAGCTGATTGCTGCTTCGTAATAGCACACCAGACATCCCAGAAATATCCCTTCTGTAAATATTTTGGTTGACCACTTCTCTTGCAGCTGACTCAGGAATTGAGATGAGTTGTCTGGATCCTAGAATGAGTCTGGAGATGGTGAAGAGATTGACTAGCAAGGAGCAGCTTTCTTTGTGGAATCTCAGGCCTTTCTTCTGACCCGTTTAGGGATTAAGAGAACAAGGTAAGTGGGGAGGAAAAATGGGAGCATTGAGGCACATGTTTGGAAGGCAAAAAAATGGAGACTATATATGGAACTTCAGAGTCCTTCCCAAGGTAAGTCGTACTTACAGAGAGCAATCATTCCTTCAGTAATACTGATAGAATACTTGAGCCAGAACCGTGGGGATGCAGGGACTGTAAATAAGCTAGAAACATCCCCTGCTTTCATGGCACCTACAGCCTAGTGGGGGATATGGTTAAACTAGGAATTAACAAAACTGCACATCAGGTTTTATGGGAGGAGTATAGATTGCAATTGGGGCACACAGGAGGTCACCTTGACCAAGTGTCAGGGAGTCCTGGAACAGTTTCTGGTGTTAGTGACATCTAAGCTGAGTCATAAAGGAGAATCTGACCCTCGTTAGGTGAATAAGTACGGAGAGAGAATAGAGGGAAAGCATGTACAAGAAAATGAAGGCATTCAAGGAACTAAAATTGCAGTTTGCTATGACGTTAGCTATGGCTTTAGCATGCAGAGTGGGGAAAAGATCTCTCCAGGTAAAACCTAGTATTCCTTTAGTAAACTGGGCCCAGGTGCATTACCCAAAATTTAGAGAATTGACATGAATGAGCTACTGTTCTCTTCCCCCCTTTAATAGTGTGCTCAGGTAAGAACCATGACTTCAAAGTGCAGGTTAACTCAGATTTCTGTGTTGAATGTCTTGCCAGGCAAAATGCCAGTTGGTCCCATCTCACTGAGGCAGACAGCACCCTCCAGTGGAAATGAAGACGAGCGCTCCTCGTGGACCTCGCTGGCCCCAACCCTATTGAACGCATTGTTGCCATTCCCCTGTGAGGTTGTAGTCAGATGAGAGTCAGCCGAGTCCGCTGAAATTCTGAGACCAAATAACACAAGGAGTGCTAGTTCTTATGAAGAGCTGACTTATTATCTAAATTGTAATCCTTTTACTATGCTCCAAAGCAGTTTCCTGGTTGAGAAAAAATAATGGAGGAGAGAACGGGAGCTATAAAAAATGGGAAATGTTTTGTTATTGCTCTTTCAGCCCCACCCCCAGAACACTGATTCAGCTTTGGCCAGTGGAAAGGAATTCGTAAGTGGATGTGGTGTAGACATTTTTAACAAGAGAAAATTAATTTCTTCTGAACTGTAAAACGTTGGACAGTAGCTCAGGAATATGACTTTGTCCAGTCAGCTTAGGCGCTCATGTGCTTAGGATCAAGACAGAACAGGGGTGTGTGTGTCAGGGTTGGGGTGACAGCCATAGCTCAGGTCATCATGTCCCAGGGCCTGGGATGCTGCAGTGCACACACCAGTACCATCTGCCCTCCCAGGAGGAAAATTGGGATCCTCTGACCAATTGTATTGTGAGTTTCAGAATATTCAATTTCGCTTAGCTATTTAAAAATGTCAAGATTTAAGAGACCCTAAATGACGTGGATAAAGTTAAAATGCTTTAAATGACGTAAGATGTTGAAACTCAGGGGCTACCTTTCTCCCCCTCTAAATAGGAAGGATGGCAAGTTGGGGGGAAGTGACCCTGTGTTACTTTTTAGAATCCTCTAGGTGGTGCTGCTGTGACAGCTATGGGCTGGAAATTGTTAGTACTTAACCATCAAACCAAATATTTAACTTATTAAGTGTCCTATACTTATGGTTAATTGCTAGTAGGATACTACTGATAATTTATGCCATCATATTTACATTATATTCTCCTAACATACATTGCATAACAGAGTAATTTCAAGAGTTGGAATACATGTGCTTCTCTGGTTATTACTGAATAAAATTAAAGCTTTCCTGTGTGTCTTAATTCTTCCACGCATTAAAACTGGTGACAGGATTAGCTCTTCTTTACCTCTGCTTGTGTTGGCCAGTGTAGGACAGTTCCTTGTACATAGTAGATGCTAAGTTAATGTTTAAGAATTGACTTGTTTTTCTCTTTTTATGACTTATTGGAGATGAGATGACTAACTGGATTAAGCTTTTAAAAACCCTAGTCAGACATTGCTGCATATATTTGCTAGTAAAAAGATTAGGAGGCCATTTTTCCTTTATTTCTGAAAATGGCCTAAGGTTTATATATATATTAAAAAAATCACTTATTTTAAAAGCAAATTGGTTTTCAGGTTGGTTCCATTTGAAGTGCAGGAAATGGTTGGAAAAACTGTGTTTGATAATCGCTCAAATCTTAATCAAGATTTTATTAAAATCAATATTTGATATGCTGCTCAATTTAATTGAATTAAACCACAGAGAAATGAGTAACAAATGAGTTTGAAAATCAATCATGGGATAAGGTATGTTTCTTTTAATTAGTTTAATGTATGAAATGTTGGGTTAAGGAATTACCACAAATGGAACAACAGGGAGAAAAATCACCACTCTTGTTTACACAATACGAACAACTGATACCAATGAGCACATACTCTGCCAGGCACTGTGTTAAACACTGTCCCTTAAGTCCCTTCATTTATTTTAAACTGAAATCCTATGAGATCTGTCTCCTTGGTGGATGCTACAGGCCCAGGTTTGAGCCAGCATGGGTGTCCCAGGTCACTCAGCCAGTAAATGGGTGAGGTAGATTTTAACACAGTGATCAGGCTTTTCCCACTACCGTAAAGTGCTCACAAACAGGAAGAAAAAGCATACTTTGATTATAATTAAAGAGAAGGGCATTAGTGGTAACTTTCTTTTGAAAACAAGTGTTGCTTTTACAGACACCTGATAGAAAGGGGGGAACCCAAAATCAAAAGGCATGACTGTCGATTTAGCAGCTGTGAGTCCCATGGACTAAAAAAAAAAAGAAAAAGATTTTTATTTTTCTGGACAGACAGAACACAGTTATTTACTGTATAATTTATGCTATCGAGAGTGGCAGAGATTTATGGTTTTAGTAAAAAAGTGTTCTAATTGGGATTAGCTAATAAAAAAGAGGTGGGACCGGAGAGGGAGAGAGTAGGAAACTGTGATTTCAGTGGAGGTGTTTCTCCTCTCCTGGGATGCTAACAAAAGGGCCATTGTTGCTCACGGGGGCAGGAATCATACTTTTACTTAGGCCTTCAGAGTTTGTGCTGCATTTTTAGCTCTAAGTGCTCTTAGTCATCCAAAGAATCAGCTCTAGGAAACTAACGATATTCTGTTTAAATACCATCAGGAATGAGAACAAAACTGCATTTTCCTAAAAAAAATCTTCATTTTTATTCAGAGCTTGTTTGGTAGGATGAAAATTAAAAAAAAAATTAACAGAAATCACAGCTACACAACTGCAACTTCTGTACTCTAGGCTGAGAATCTTTTTTCTTTCAAGTCACTGTTTCCTAAGCCACAATCATTCATGTATCACATACACAATTTTTAGCATCGTCCCGTACTTCTTGTATTACTTAATATTTTGACTTAATGTGGTGTGTTTAAAAAAATCAAAATGAAATACCTTTATTTTAGAAGGAAGCTTTGTTTTACAATCGTGAGTAGGAAACTAGAATCCCTTGCTCTAAGAAGGAAATGAGTGAAAAGAAATACAATTAAATCAAAACATTGTTATCAAATTTTAACTCCAGGAGTGTCTAGAGGTCATGAGGACATACTTGTACCAAGCGGAGACTTCCTCTTTTATCATATCTGAAAAATAAAAAAATATTTGAAAAGGGAATAACTTTTTATTTTGTGAATCAGTTTTATCCAACAAAGTGTCCATATACCACCCAAAATCGTGTTTCCCACCAGAGGTGCCTCCTCCACCTTTGCGATCAACAGCCCATGTATGTTTGTGTGCTGCTCTTATGAACCTTTGGCCCTCTTTACTCCCCAGCTTCCCCCCAATAGTATTTGAACCTCACTCTCCACCCATCTAATTACCTTATTCCTAAACATTTAGAGAAATCTGTTAAGCAAACACACTTGGGATGGAGGGCATCTTACAAAATGATTAGTTTCTGTTGTTAGCACGACTTTTCTCTGCATTTGCTGTTGGAGATAGTTTCCCTCTAATCAGATGTGGTTAACTTCCAATAATAGTGAAGTAAAAATAATAAATAATATGTCTCTTTACCACCCCTGACCTTCACCCACCCAGTTTTCTCCTCCAGAGACAACCACTGTCACCAAGTTTTAGGTGTTCTTCTGGAGATATTCTATGTACAAGTTTACTAGAACCTGTAATTTTCACATCAATGGCAGCACACTCTATGTGTCATTCCACAATTCATTTTTTTTCCCACCCAACAATATTTTTTGTCACTTTATATTAGTGTATATAGCCCCAGTCCATTCTTTTAAATACTGTATAGAAATACTCTATGCACGTAAATAATCCCCTTTGGAAGGACACTTGGATTAGTACTTTTTCTTCCGCAAACAATGCTGTAATATCCTTGTGTAATTCTCTTTGGCCCATGATGACCATCAAGAAATAAATCTGTAGCTAGACAGTACTCATTCAAGTGGCCGGAGCCATAATTATAATAATCAGAGAGGGCAAACATGGTTGCATATTTTTTTTCACGAGGATTGGTTTTCTCTGCTTTTTCCTCACCCATGACATAAATTTGTATGTGTCATCGTGTCCTGCACAGGATGCAGCATCCTGATTTGCACATGGAGTTGTATATTCTAAGTTATGTTTGTTGCATTTGTCTACTACTGTTTAATTCTTCCTTGCCATGGTCACAGTTGTGCTCCAGGCTTGTCTCTCTTAGACGAGGACGAGCTCCGTGGGGCCAGGGAGGGACTGAGGTTGTTAAAGATCCCTAAATGTCTCTGACCTTAGGAAAAATAACTGCCACGTTGCTTTAATAGCAAATAGATACACATTTTTAGCAGATTTGAATGGGAAATATGGAGGGGGGAAAATGAAAAGAAAATCGCCCATGTGAGTTGGGGTTGCTGTTTCTGACCAAGTTAGGATCGAGACATCCCAGGAGTCTCACAGGAGATCTTGTCTCAGGGGAAGACAATGCTGATCTCTTGGCCAAAGAATGGGTATGCACGTCTGCGGATAGGAAACTCGCAGGCCTAGACAGACGGCAGCCTACCTCTGGCTCAGCCTGCGATTCATTATCATTCACAAGGTGGTGTTAGATGCTCAGCTTTGAAAAGAACTGGCTTTTCAGCAGTATTTTTACCCTTGAGAGTATATAGAGAGAGCTCTGTGTTGTATATTAATCAGAGCTTTCACGACTCACTTTGAATGGTGTTCGGAATGTGTCTGGGAGTGTGGCGAATGAACTGTGCCCAAAGTGTGCTCTATTATTTATTACTCAGGAGCCTTTCTCTCTGAGACAGAGGCCGAAATGAAAGGAACAAAATACCTGCCTTTAATGATAATGTTCTTCCCAGTTTCACTCCCTGTGCACCCTCCACCCCTGAAAGGGGTCTGGGATTTGATACCTTATAAGAGTCTGTTTGTATCTAAAATTGTACTAAAATTTATATTTTTATATTCCCCACTCTTTCTGTGTATGTGTAGCTCTCAGGGCACATGTGCTGCTCAAACATTTAGTAAACATGCCTGGAAGCTGTTCCTTCTAGAACCACTTCCCTTTCTTTTCCCAGATGGCAAGTCTTACTCATCCTACAAAACCTGGTTCAAACGTCACTTCTTGAAGGGCCTGCCCTGCTGTCCCAGGCAGTGAGTCACCCCTGCTCTGTTCTCCACCATCTTATCTTCATACCTCGGTCACATGCATTCTCACTGTGGGCGATGTTGTCCCCAAGGGGGCAAATGTTTGTTCTTGGGGAACAAAAAATTATTCTTTAATGTATAAAACACAGATATACATACCATACATAGACAGATATACAGTATATAACATTTCACAGTGTGGGGGAAGATTAGGAAAAAGGTATCTTAAAAAATACTTAATTTTTGGGTGGTGGTGATGGAAAAAAAGTTGAGAAACTCTGTTTTATCATAACACTTGCCCCTTGTATGACAATCATTACTTTGTATTATACTGTGTGTCTCTTACAAGTCGGAAAACCATGGCTTTGAAACCCCAGCCTCCAGCGTAGTGCTTGACAAATATGGGCGTTCATGATGTATTTACTTGAAGGAATAGATGATTGAAATACTCACTTCTAAGCATGACTGCTCCACACCAGAAACTCCTGCAAAAATCATTGTAAATACCATTTTTTTAAGATCCACCTCCAGAAATTTTACCTTGGTGGATCTGGAGTAGGACCTGGGATTTTGTATTTTAAAATGCTACTTGGGTGATTGGATTTGAGAACTATTGCTCTAGCCCATGAATCACTTTCCTTCTCCTCGGAAGATGATTTTATTTATAAAAATGAAAACAAAAACCAAAATAGGTGCTATATTCACCTGTTAACATTTCCTGTGCGGATGAGACCACAGAGCGCTGGTTTCCACGCAGGGTGTCATTTTCTGATGGGAACATCGGCAGGCGCCGGCCTTTTCAGAAAAGTTCCTGGAGTGTGCTGTTCTCCTGGGTGAGGATTATAGGCTACAGTATGATGGGAATGCGGCAGGCGCACCAGCTGGCTCTGGGCAGGGTTTCTTTCTCTAGGCTCTGAACACAACACACAGATAGGAAAGCTTAGGTGATGTGGGGACTGAAAGGATGTCTAGGGGGCTGGTTCATGGGAGTGTTGAAGAGTGACTTTTAGTGGCATGACCTGAGCTCCTTCTTTAGCCCTGTCCTGGAAAGAATCATTTCAGTGATTTGAATGGCACAATAAATCTATGGATACACTTACTAAAGAGGAACAACAAATGCATAGAGAAACAATTCTTTAACAACCACCCAGTAGGTTAGAACAGAGGCCCTCAACCTTCTCAGGCTCAGTGCCCTCTTTACATGAAATATTTTGTAACCCACTCTCATTATTGTGACGTGAAGATCATAGATAACATAAGCTAGCTATATATGGGGTTTCTAACTATCAATGCAATGCTCTAAATGTAATATAAAGGAGGAATAAAGGGAAAGTAATTTTAGAACAAAACTACACTAGGAGACATAATGAAGCACAGTCAGTTCTGTTATCAATTGCACTTGTTTTTGGAAACGTGAATCTGTTCCAGGGTGACTGGTACATTAGGAGTACCTTGAGCACCCAGGTTGGCTTTTGCGTGGATTCATCCCCGGGAAGCACAGGCGGACACAGAAAGCTGCGCGCAGGCGAGTTGAGCCTGTACAGTACATAGAACTCGGGCACGCACACGGCTCAGCTGTCGGCCAGACACCCCTCGC